CAATACTAGCATAACTGCGACACTTTTGTATTTTTACGTCTGATTTTATAAGTGAGTAGTTTTGCAGTGCGGTGACACTTGGGCTACACAAGACAAATCCGACTCCTGAAAGGGGCACAGTAGTCTGGAAAGGCTGAGAGCCACTGCACTAAGCTATTCACAGATTTACAGACCCCAAGGCCTGAAGAGACCATTGTGATCATCTCGCCTGACCTCCTGCATAGCACGGGTCAGAGCCCGCCCCAAAATGATGTCTAGAGAACATTTTCAGGAAAAAACCCATCCGATCTTGATTTTAAAATCATCAGTGGTGGAGAATCCATCCTGACTCTTGGTAAATTGTTTCAAGAGTTAATTCCTCCCGCTGTTCACAATGTTTGCTTTGTCCGGTTCGAGTTTGTCTCACCTCCACTGTGAGCCACTGGATTGCCTTTCTGTGCCAGAGTGATGGTGAGCTGGGCTCAGCCCAAAGCCACATGCCCAGGGAGAGAGGCCTGCTAGTAATGTCTGTCTAAGGGAGTGCTGCTCACTAGCTTCAAGGAATTTCCCAGACTTTCCAGAAGGCCTGTCTCCGTCCCAAGCACTTCACAATCTTAGGAGACAGTCTATGCAATTGAGATTGCGTAACAGATCTGTGGGGTTTATTTGTAGGTGTGAGGTCTCCAATAAGTGTAACGTTCCCTACGAGAGAAATGGCCTAGTAATGTCTGTCTAAGGGAGTGCTGCTCACTAGCTTCAAGGAATTTCCCAGACTTTCCAGAAGGCCTGTCTCCGTCCCAAGCACTTCACAATCTTAGGAGACAGTCTATGCAATTGAGATTGCGTAACAGATCTGTGGGGTTTATTTGTAGGTGTGAGGTCTCCAATAAGTGTAACGTTCCCTACGAGAGAAATGGCCACGGGAAAAAAGAAACGTGATCAGCTTAAAGCCTCAGAGCATTTAACAACAACGCTGAACAAAATTATCCCAAAACGTAAGGCAGAAGATAAACCCTGCCGACTTCCGTGTGGTCTGTTTTTGCAATGAGTGGGGAAGGGTTGCTCCTAGGCCTGTAACTGTCCATTCTGCCAACACATACACAAAGCTTCTTTGGGCTGTGAGCAGTGTAGTGGCAAACAAGCGAGCGAATTTAGGAAGAGGCTCATGTTCTTCAGTGAGCTGCCATGGCTGAAAATGCTCCTTGCTCTTCCTGCTAGGGAAGAGAGGGAAGTGGGGGTATCTGCTGTGGAACACAGACTCCGTCTTTCTATTTGCAGCTCATCTAGCATGGCCTGGTCATCGATGCCCACTGCGGCCTCCAGCTGCTACTAGCACAGACGTGTGAGGCAGTAATGTTTTCCCAGTCACAGCTATAGGTGGGCATCCCAAGGGTCAGGGAAAGCACACTGTGAGGCTGAGCTTGCGTCAGGCCCTTAGAGCCTTTTCTGAAGCACTGCGATTCGGATTGGTTTAGCATGATTTGTATCTGGCTAAATACCGTCAAATACAAACGTGACCCTCGCAGGAACAGGACATTCATACAAGGAGGTGATTTGAAAAATCCAGTCACCGTTTTACAATGTTTTGGCCAGATTATAAATAAACACATGCAGGGCCAAGCTGCCCCAGGCGTCTTTCCTCCTGCGCTTTGCCCTGCATGCGCTTATTTATAACCGGCTAAAATACGGTAACATGATTTTTACTGGATTTTGAAAATCAACTCCTTGTGTTATGTTACTGTGTGTTCATGATAACAAGTTTGCTAAATATCGAACGCTGGATTCCATCTGATTATCATTGATTGCACGCAGGAAACACCGAGAAGGAAGCATCCGTACAATATATTGACAACTTTATTTTATCTTTTCTGAAAAAAGAGAAATATGTAGAATAGGCACAATGAAAATCATTTAATCACATTTTAAATCATCATCAAAACTGGTCAATAAATATTATCCTAATTCACATTGTGTAATATGACTAATGTTTTGGTGACAGATTGATTTTACAGTGTAATTCTACTTATAGTTTAAAGAAATTTCAATAACCTAACCGTATCCAGTTATAAACCTCAAAGCATCACAGAACCTTTAAAATTAAGCTTCATTAATATGATTTAATTGTCTGTTTTTTTCTGACAAGGAACAAATAAAAATATTCTTCTTATTCTTTTTGCTATTTCTACTGCTTCTTACATTTTTTGATATTTTAACAGAAAGAAGCTGCCAGCAATGACACTTTTGACAATACTAAAAAAGGTTATTTTTATTTGTGTTACTAAATTTCCAACTGGAATAGTTTAAACAAAACCCTACTACCAACTACAACAGTAGCAATGGAGTTATTACTCATTGCTGAAGCTACAATGAAGTGCAAGGTCTACTATGATCAGTAGATGGCAGTCCACCTCCTAGTAAAGAGAGGGAGAATGAATAAAACCATCAAAAGCGTCACAAAGAGAGGAGATCTGGGTTCTCTTGTTTTTATCAAGCTTTCAGAGTGATTAATTAAGAAAATGTTAAGACTGTATGTATATTCAAACACAATTTCTATTGGGACTTCTGGCAAAGCAGTGTGATAGAAGAGGTTTTAAAAGTTCATAAACATGACATACACTTATTTAAAATATAACCATTACTGTGCTTGGGTTGATGTCTGTAATGCTATGTGCATTATCAGTTCACCATTTCCACAAATTCAGTTTAAACCCAGTTGTTAATTTCCTATATATATTGTTAAGGGGTGGAAAAACCTGAATCCAACATTAATAACCGTGTCTGTAAAGATATGTGCATACTCTCCAAAAACAATAATTGCAAGTATTTTTCGTTCGCTTGCATTATTTATTTAGAAATCTGTGTGTATAGCAATCTATGATGGAATTGTAAATTAAAGACTCCAGTAAAACAGTGGAATACCTATTTGAGAGCAAACAACTTCTAGTGTTTAGTCATACATATGTAAAAGAAAGAGACAACAACTCTATTCTAACACAACAGTTTCTGCATCATCTGTGGATATTATTTGCTTCTATTGTGGTTCAGATCTCGACAGAGCATTCTTAAGTGAAAAAACAAAAGTTGATCCTGCTATGTTGATGTAATTTAAATAATACAGATTCTCTTGAACTGTAGCTCTATTTTAAATGTCTAGCATGTCTGTTGTAAATTGAAGGTTTTTAAAAAAGTATAATTTGATTATGCTTCAATTAATGTAGTTGTCAAAATTGATCTTTATAAGAAAGATGCTGTATAAGTGCAGATTAAAAACCTGGTTAATTTATAATACTAAATAGCAAAGGCGTTTATAAGAAACAAGGTAGAGATGAAATATTTAGCACAAGATAGGAAATATTTATGTGTAGGTATACTTGATCCTATTTAAAATATTCTCTCACAATCACAGAATTACCCCAAAGCACTATTTCTTTCCAAATTTACTTATTTTTCCAATATGACATTTCCATGCAATGCTTTAAAAATTTCAAAGTGGAGCTTCTATTGGTGGATATTATTAATTTTACACCACTGAAAGAACAACATCAAAACACTTTCCCTTAAAATTAGCTGGCCACAATTTTTCATGGTAAAACAGATCAACTTATCAGTTACTGCCAGGAAGAATTTATGTTAGCCTTTTAAAAAGAAAGAATTTTTGTAGTGTTGATTTTAACTTTTCCTGAGTAATTGAGCAATGTCCAAAACAGGCTGGAACAACAAAATATATTTTGACATATTCATTGAAATCTAATTCATCATCACATTATTGCATAAAATACATCCAGGTGACCCTTAGATTCCAAGTTCTGTCATGGGTCTTGTAAACCATTTTAACATTACCTTTTCTGCATCACAGAGAATTATTAAGAATGTAACCTTTTATTTTAAATATCTTTATATAAATAAAGCAAACAGTAACATAAAATTAATGCAACTAAACCTATTTTTATTACATCTATTTTAAACTGGCAATTTAAGAGCAAATAAAATGATTCATATAGAAATGGAGATTTCCAAAGTGCACATTAAAAAAAAAAAAAGCATAAGCACAGAAAACACAGGAAAGATTTTCAGTCAGGAAATACGTTATCCTTAAATTTAGCTGCTAAAACCAAAAAGAGAAAGTTCCAACCTATTGAAAACGCATAAGGAACTGATTTTGAAGTACATCAAAACTAGAGTACAACAAGAAGTACTGGACAAACTTTTCTACTTTGTTTAATCGTGAAGGGATGACTGTGCTTATAAAGTTATTCCAATTAAACACATATTTTCTTTATGTTGAAAGGAAGTCAGTCATAGGTAATGTCTAATTTTTTTTATACATAAATGTGTTTGTGTGTATGTATTTAAGGTTTGTAGAGGAGATCAATTAGACATTATTCTAAACAAGTTAAATATTGTTTTCAAACTCTGCAACAATATAGGTGCAGTTTGTTAAATTTTCCCAAAAAGAAAAAAACTTCAAAACTGAATAATATATTTGCAGTGGGCAGTAGGGTGTTTTTTTTAAAAAAAAATTTATAAACAACTGAAGACCAACTAAACAGGTGCCAGAGAACAAAAGTGGTAATTGATTTCTCTCTCAAGAATCATGTACAAAGACTGTAAAGTTTATTTCTAAAATTCACATTCCATTCTCTAGTTAAGGTTCTTTAATTCAAAGTTAAAGAACCTGCCTTGTAATGCATGGGGATTGAAAACCCAATCTGGGAAACAGGAACACTGTTATACCTCATTACAAAATTAAACTTTCTCTTTGTAATGTATACAGTAAACGCAGTTATGGAGAGAAAAGTGATAGGGATGCAGTCCTTAAATTATATCAGAAATAAAAACAATCAGAACTTCTAAGAATGTACAAAAAGGAACAGTGTATTATTGCATTCTCCAGTTCAAAAACTCTTCAGATGTTTATTATCTTCCTGAAGAAGATGCTTGTCTATATTTTATGGTCAGCAGTTCACAGAAGAGTAAATAGGTTGGGTGTAGAAGAAAATAAAAAAGGTGTTTATACTTACTGTTAGGTGATACTGCCTCCATATTTCTGGGCAAGCCTGGAAAATAAAAATATTGATCAGCTGGGAGCATGAAACAAGGTGCTTTACAGCCTGTTGGTTTTGGCATAACACAGTATCCACCGGTGTCGGTCACAGGAAAATAAGAAGCTTAACTGAAAGGGTCTGCATTTCAGCTTCAAAAACCTGGCTAGACAGTTTAATTGAATTTTACACTGGTTTAACACACTCCCTGCCATTGTCAGAAAGCCAGTAACAGTTTTCTCTTGCCCTTTCTTTTCTTAAGGTTAGAAGTTTTGAAGACTAACATGTTCTTAACTATCATAACAATTATTACAGTAAAATAAACACAGCAGACTGAAATGCAGCATGTGGAATACAGTATGTGTTTTGTAACATTTCAAACCTACATAACGTTTGGAAAATGAATCCAGCAGTTATTTTGCTTTGATGCAGAAGTGAATTTAAAATTATTTTGCTATTTTTGTACATGTCTGAATCCTAATCAAAATATAATTGTTACAAGTAATAATCCTCAGTAGCCTAACGTCAAATGAGATGTAAACAAGGAGCATAACAGATTGCTTTAATGTTTCTATTTTTACAATGGCTTGCTGTCTTCTGTTTTGATCCTTGCCCATCTTTTTCACAAACTTCAAGACATAGTCTATGGTAAAAACTATATATAAAGTAGATTTTTTATGACAGCAGTTTCACAGTAGACTTGTAGAAAGCATAGGTCGTGGGCGAGGGAAATGTGAAACTTTTTTTTTCTTAAGAACAAAATAAAAAATGTATTGAGAATCAAAGAGGCATGGCTGCTAAATATTTTCCTAATACTCCTTAACAATTTTACAAAATGTACAGTGGCTTTTCTGATTATGATTTTATACGTCAAAGCCAGAAGTAAATACCTACTGCTAATTTGACTGCTATACATATCAGCACCAGGTGCATGTTTGTCAGATATATACACACAGCTGTATAACTATTATCTGGGCACCATCTTTAATTTTTTTTACAATGCCTCTATTAAATGTGGAAACAATCTCTCTGTCATTTAAGCAATTTCCCATTTGGTTTATAAATCTCAATTTTGCATGGTTTCCAACAGAATCTCGGTTATTCCATGTTTTCCGGGTAGTAACATGTAGTTTTAACTTCCTACTCTCAAGTACCTCTCCAACTTGCACCGTAGTAACATTTGAGAGTTTTGAAACAATCCTTTCTCCCAGGCCTGATACACCTGCTTTCCTTTATTTTTACAGAGAAGTTATATTAAAAAAATACAGTATTAACAAAATGGAACAGAACTTCTAAAAAATAAAAGCTAGTGCCAGTGGCCCTAATGCAGGCAGGCAGGCAGGCAGGCAGGCAGGCAGAGAGCAGCACAACAGTAGGTTTTCTTCAGATGGGCTGAAAATTTTATTATTTATTATGCATTTTACTAGTCATGTAATTTTCTGGAGAATAATGGACACACTGTGTTGTGTGACTATTCCACGCTTTCTGTGTTATTCAACTATTATGTGTAAATATTTGTATTTTATATTAATATTGTTTTTGTAACGAAACTGTAAAATGCATTACATTTCTGGGCATAGGGAAGCAATACAATATGTGACAGTTTATAAACACTCAAGCTATCTTGGAATGCAAACAAAAGGATTTACCACCTCTCCAAAAATGGATACTAGTTTGGCACTTACACAGGATTAGCAAGGGTAGCAGGCAGTTATTTATACATTAGTTCTGGGTAGTTTTCGATTATCACAGTGTTCCCAGAATAATATGGTTGAAAAATCGCAATCAATGAGTTGTCATATGCTGGCAAAATGCCACTCTGCTATATGACCTTTACTTACACAGCAGCTATTTAATAAAAAAAATTACTTGGTTTTAGAATAATCATTGTGTTACTCTGGACGTGAAGACACTATTTACTGGGGAAATTTGTTGCTAAGAACTAAGAAACTTACGTCTCCTACAACTAGTCTCCCTGAATAAAACATTTAAAAGGCACAGCCTCAGCTTACACAGCAACTCTATCTAGGAAAGCTAACTGTTATTATTACTCTTGTCCATAGGTGCATTTTTAAGGCTGCGGGGAAAAAAAGAGGTGAAAAATCGAAAGGAAACCTGAACTGGCATATTTCTGTATCCACATGGCAACTCAGAATGACATTTTTCATACTCAAAATAGTCCCTTGTACAAGTTCAGGTGGTTTATGCAATAGTCCAAAATGGATGACAGGCTGAAAAATCGCCATTGTACTAAAATAGTAATACTTTAAACTTTGAGACTCATGCCCTTCCATCAACTCAGAATTACTGTCTGCCCCTCTTCCTTATCACACAGTGACCAAATATATAATTAACAATTACTACAGAATACTGGCTTCTCAAATGAAGCCAAGTGGCGTGTTATGGAAGAGAGCATAACCAAATATAACAGCAATTGAACCTGTAATTTTTCTTATTTATTTAAAAGTTTTTAATCATGAATAGCCCTCCCTCAAAGCAAGGCCCTTGTGGCATACATGTAGGATTGAAGTGTGATGAACTACATTAAAATAAAATTGCATTTATTTCCTGCCCCAGTGGTCTGACCTTACTAGCATTTAGATGTATGAACACAAAAGGCCTTATACTCTTAAAAGCAGCCCCCTACCACTTTCCTGCTGCACAACACACAAGCAAAATACATTTTAAAATCCCTTTACCTGAATCTGCATACCCTTTTTTAAATTTTGCACAATTAGCTTTTCCTCTGTTACATTCTTTCTTCTGACTAGTATACGAATGACTTGGAATGGTTATTATTCATAAAATTCAAACATTTATCAACTTAAGTTTGCCACACCAGATGAATCTAGAGTTTATATTGTGCATTTCAACCCATATTGAATTTTATCAGGTGCTAATTATTGTTTTACGAGAACAATGGCTTAATGCATCTGTTGTTTAATTCCCACTTCCCTATTCTCAAATGTGAACATCAAAGAAAATAAAACACTCAATCTTAAACAGCCCCTGACAGCAGACCAAGACTCAAGTGCTCAATAGACAAGGCCCTTGCCACCAGTTCTCATATTTCCACAACAATGAACAAACACAAAAACAGCACTAAGCGGCCTCTCCTCCTTTTCAGCTCCCCTTGGCCAGTTGTCTGCCTTGTACTAGAGAGAACCCTTGAACACAGCCCTGCTGGGAACACAGCACAGGAGAAAGGATTAGCCTTACTAACATGCTAGCATTTGCAAAAGTGAAGAAAAAAACCCACAGTACTGTATTTGGTATATGAATAACCAAAATGTATGAGCTGACAAGAGACCGGGACAGGCCTATGGCTCCCCGGGAGAAAATGTAGCTGTGATGAGTGACAGGGCTTTCAGGAAATATGTTCACAATCACAGACAGTGAAGGCCATGACCTAGATCGTTTAAGAGCTTGTCTTGTCAAATTATCAAAAGCTTCTTCCTCTCTGAATAAAGAGTGACATAAGTGAGTGTCAGAAAGCTGCAGGCTGACAAGCCAAGCATACAATAACAGAATGCACGTCACATACTTGCCGAACACGGCCACGGCTAGCGGCAAATCTTAATGAGAGCGCGGCTGGCCCAAGAGACTTGGGTCCCTGCTGGCACAGCTACTCATCTCACAAAAATCCTTCAGCTCCAAGTCAGTTATGGTCTGACACGACGACTACAATTACTAAACACAACTTTTTAACAGAATCCTAAAACAAAAGATTGAATAAAACAAGCCATATTCATGACTTTTGTATAATAATTAGTGCGGAAGAACAAAAAGTCACTTTTTGACAATTCGGAAAAAAAGACAGAGGCTCTTTCCCAACACCATGCCTCATCTGGCCACTCTCCGCTCACAAACTGGACTCTTCTACCTCCGGGATGGAAGGGACTCTTGGTAACATTTATTTAGGGTCATGATTAGACAGAAAACTTCTCAGGAGTAAATGAAAAAAGCAACTCAAGGGAAAACTTGTGACTTCTGGACAAAATGACTGCCACAGGAGGAGGAGTGTGAAATCAGAAAGAAATGGGTAGAAATCCCTGCTTTTTTCAAGAGGTTCTTTAGAAAGGGATGAGAAAGATAAGGTTGAGGCCACATAATATAGCTGATGAGGTAGGAAAGGGAAAAGGAAATAGGCACAGCTCTTATCACCAGTGGCAGAACTCTCAGGTTTTTCCAGCCACTTGAGCTGAATTTCATCTCTGGGATGTCCACAGGTAGACTTGATTCCAGAGACATCCAGTCATTAAGCTGTGTTATTCCACAGCTCAGTTATTTAAAATGACAGACATGCAAAAGAACCCACCATCGTAATAAAGACATTCAGAGGAAGCTGACTGTGAAACACAGATAATTGAAATAAACTTTCAAAAAAAAGAAGAATGGTCCTGCAGCACCTTAGAGACGAACAAAAAACGTAGTCAGATCTATATTTTAATACAGATCTGTAGGCTACATCTACATTGCACAGTTATTTCGGAATAAGCTATTCTGGAATAGTTATTCCGAAATAGCTTATTTCAAAATAGCATGTCTACAAGGCAGGGAAGCCTCAAAATTAGTCCAAGGCAAGCATGTCTACATTAGGGAAGCTAGCTCGAATTAGAGCCCCAGGAGGAATAACTTAGAACAGCCCAGGTGAGGGGCTATTTCGAACTAGCAGAAGTGGAGCATCTACACACACCTTATTTTGAAACAGCTATTTTGGAAGAGGCATTATTCTTTGTAGAATGAGGTTTACAGAAGTCAGAATAAGCCATCTGTTATTGTGAAATTGTTTCAAAATAACGGAATTGCTGTGTAAATGCTCACATCGTTATTTCAGAACAGCCGCCCTTATTCCGAAATAACTTTGCTGTGTAGACACATCCTCGTGGTGCTGCAGGACCATTCGTTGTTTTTTTAAGTTTTTTTCAGTTACAGACTAACACGGCTCCCCCTCTGAGACTTTTCATTGCAATTACGTTAACATTCAGCAAAGGCTGCGCAGGAAGCAAGTGCAC